GACTGTTGAGTTGCCAAGCACAGAGGTTTTGGACTGTTCTCCTATGTTGCCCAATGATTTTTAGAGAGAGGGAATTTCAGTACGGTTGCCTTGATTTCAGCATAATTGCCTCTCAATTGAAATTGTGAATTCGAAATTTCGACTTCTAACTCACAATTTCAATCTTGGTACCATGTGGAGATATGTGAAAAAAATTTTGTTCACTTATTCATCACATGAACGATCGATGCAACTCTCACCAGTCATGTTGTTACAAACTTTGAATATATGCTGTCGATACAAAAAAAGGCGTACCTGTGTGTGAAATTCTAGCGATCATGTTTGATCACACATCATTCCATATCTTGTTGTTTTGATTTTTTTTACTGCGTCTGGTTGAGTTTGGCTATTTGAATCATCGATTCGGTCAATTCCCCGAAGCTCTCTGAGAAATTATCAGTTTGTTTTAATCAATTTTCATCCACACATAGTTACGTGACTGAATGAGTTTTGATGATCCATGGAATTAATTAGGTATGAAGTAGTGATGGCATCCGACTGACGATCGGTCGGATTCCGACCGAGCAGTTTGAAAGGTCGATCGGAATACCGACTGTCGGAATGAGGAGAAGTCATGTCGGTCGGATTCCGGCTGACACGAAATTCCGCTCATAGTCAGATGCCATCACTAGTATAAAGCTTGCTTGCAATGAATCTAAACTGCTTAGTTATCGTTCACTTTTACGGTGTAATGAAATGAGGCTGTCGAAAGTTTGTCATGTGTGTTTGCGTGTGAATCGTGAGTGTAGATAGGCAATTTTAAATGGTATTTGATGTTGCGAGTATAAATGCACAAATTGCACATATTCTTTCGTTTGTGTGTGCATTAGAAGGAGATCTGACGAAACATAAAAAATAGAGTTGCGAATAATTGCAAGACTAAAATTGATAAAACGAGACGAGTGATTGTTCATTCGCTTTAGCTATCGGTTGATCACTGAGTGCAGTGTGCGCTCGCTTGGCTGCTGACGAACTGATTTCAAACATCATCTAACCAACTCGAAACAATGATATAATCTCTTCAAAGAAAGTTTGTTAACGGCTGTAATGCAAAGTGCATAAAGCTTCCATCCAGCTCATAGCACATACCCAAACACAATCCTACTCTCATATGTTACTGTGTATATCATAGCATTACCAGTGCTTTACTTCTATATACTTTCAACTACGAAATAACGACGATGTTTATATTCAGGCTTTACGTTCCGTTCGATTTTATTCGTATTGTCAATCGCAAACATCAATACAACTTCTGCATTTAAGCAACAAATTGTTGAGCAGTTCATCAAAAATATTTTATTACTGAATTCGTTGTCTTTATTCGATCTTGCAGACGAGTGGATGTCTCTGTTCGTTTATGAAAATACTATACAAAGCATCAATACAAGTTATTTTTCGTTTAGCGATGTATTACGCATTGCAGTGCACTGAATTCGATAACGCTATTTGATGAATGCCCAATAACAAACACACGAATGAATGAATTCGTTCGTGCGTACTCATTCCTTTCCAATGTCATCATTCTTCAAAACCTTGCATTGCCATCGCCCTCATCGTCGTATCTCCCTCCCTCCAGCCGTAATGTATTGTCGTCATACTTAGGAGTACGATCAATACTATAATTACCATTCATCATTTTATTTTACCTCATCACTTCCTCATATCCTGCTGTGTACCAATCAACACATTATATACCTTCTATAAAGAGTTGTTGATCGATTACAACCGCACTTTTTCATGCTGCTGTCAAGCATTCCGAGGAATCAACTCATTCCGTTTTCATTCTTCCGCATTGAAGCAGAAATTTTTTCTTATTTTGAATGTTTTTGAATTTAGTATATTTCATTACTTATTGCAATTAGAGAAACATAAAATTGCAGTTTGAACCTCATTATCCCTATTGTTATCCCATTATAAAAATATTCTTAAAATGTTTCGTCATGAAACTGAAAATGCAATAAATGAAACGTTTCAAATCAAGTTCGACTTGTAATTTTTTTTCTTCTCAAATTCAGTTGTTTAGGGTTGAATTCGGTGAATCATAACTAACACACACTGACACAGACACATAAATAACAGACTAATCCTTCGTTCCTTCCCTTTTACAACTCCTCCGATCGATTTACTGCAAACGCAATCATCCGATTCACCAATGACAACACCAACTAACAACAACAAGAGTGATTTGAAAATGGATATGAAATCACCGGAGAGTGGCGACAATTTGGTAATTCGAATAGCATTTCAATATTTATTTATTCAGTCAGCAATTACAACTTTATTAATCAGAGTTTATGCATCTCCTTTTTATCACCACTATCAAATTCTTCATTGTTTGACATATTAGCGTAGTGCTTCATGAAAGTCTAACTTCGATTATTGATTTGGGGAGATTAGAGGTATACGGCTATTCTCTCATATTGCCCATTTCACTTCTCTATTTTACTTATATTCCATTTAAATATGGCAATAAACTTTTGAGTCTTCATTCAGTACTATGAAAATGGCCAAAACTATCCTAACGTGATCCAGGTGATTCTAAGAGTAAGAGCAATGTGCGAAATCAGTATGAAAACTGCATCACTACACAGTACACATTTCCATCCAGTCATTACCATACTATTTCAAGTTTCAAGTAAATCAGTATTTTGAGGTTTATGAACAGAATACATTAATTCAAGAAAGATATTGTATGAAAACTAATGATTTGAAATAGAGGAACACATATTATTATGATATGAATTCGGATTTGCTTATAGGCATTTAATCGTCCCAGGACTGAAATTTTCCTTGTTAATAGAACGTGAATAAATTTGATTGAAATAATCAAATTTAAATCCAAATCACTCCAAATTTCAATTCATGCTCACCATACAATGGAAGATTCACATTTATCAATATCCAACTACATTGAAAGTTCCACATACAAGAGTATGTTCATAAAATATTTTAATGATTGTTACAAATTCAGTTAATCGGGTTAATTGCAGCCAGCACGTCAAAAGACAATCATGGACCGATTGACCTCTATTCGAAGCAACAAACAGCGTATTTTGGAAACGTTACGTGGATTGAAAGAAAATCTAGCCGAGGATGAGGTCACTTTAAAAAACATCTTTGATTTGTAATCACTCATCACAACGCCGTTCAATCTTTAACCTTCACTGACAATGAGATAGATCATTTTCTACTGACTATCAAAATGACAGTTTGAAACAGAACCGTGTGTCTTAGCGCATATGATAAATTCAAATGACTGAACATGAAAGAAGCATGTCTTTAGCTAGAACTTATCTAAAGACGTTCTCGTTGTAATCAAATCAGGAAAACTGATTCCCATCGAAGTGAATGAAATGAATTTGAATGCCCACCGAACGTTTAATGATGTTGGCTAAATGATCGTTCGAATGGTAGATTTTTAAATATGCAATATTTTACGACCTTAACTCAACACCTAACACCTACATGCCCCGATCGACATCTGCATTCTTAACTGGGCGCCTGAGTAAAACTGAGTTCATTGTATATGAATGCATAAAGTTAATTTATTCGAGCATTTTAGTCTTTATAAGAGGCTTTCCTCAAAGAATTATTTATTGCTTTTGAATGGAATGAATTATAGGAACCAGACCGTGAGCTGATGGCTAAAATGATTGCGAGCTATGATTTATTAAGTGCACAAGAAGAGGAGTACTTGAAAATAATGCAACAAATTGTGGTATACTATCATTATTTTGATAATGCGTCATTATTTTGTTGTTGTTATCAGTTCAGTCAATTCCTAATATACAACGGTTATCAGTTGATGAAATTTCTTCTTCTATCGAACTGCTTCGATTGATACGTAGATGAAGGTTTGCAAAATTAATGGACAGAAACGATCATGGCTCCTAATCGTTTCTAAAACATTGTACTCTTATTGAGAATCTTTAGAATCTCAATCAAACTCTGCCTTTGATTGGAGACGCAATTCCTCAACATCAATGCAAACAAATCGTTTTTCATAGACTTAACGAACCATCGAATCAATTCAGTTCTCATTTTCCAGTTTATACTTGATTCGTGTTCAACTGATGAAATTATCATTGTTTTTAGGCTATACGTGAGAATGCGGCTGAAGATGTTGAACGTGATGTGAAACAAGAAGGTCGAACTGATGAAGTGGTGGAAACTGATAAAAAATCTGATGATAAATCAAAAGAATCTGATGATAAATCAAAAGATAATGCCTCAGCAACTCCCCAATCAGCACAACCGAATGAACAACCTGAAAAAGTCGATCAAAAGAAGTCGAGTGGTGGAACTGAAGACGAATGGAAAGAGGTATGATGATTGTGTGATATCGCGATCAGACGAAAGGAATGAAAACTTATTAATTTGCATGTTGCAGGAAAATGAACTTGAATTCGCAAGTTGAATTTGTCTAAAGTTGTATTGAAATCTTAAGGTCGAAGAAGAGCTGAAGAAATTGGGTAATGTGACCGGTGAAGCAGTAGCCGCGTCAGTATATAACGAAAAACTTGTCGAAACATTACACCTTTCTCGGATGCAGGTACCTTAATGATTACATGCATTTACTTGCACTGATTATCATTGTCTTGATTTTGCGCTATCGTCCTGCTCTGACTGGTCCTCGACTCTAATTGTAAGTCGGTAAAAACCCATCTTTTTCGTTTTGGGTTTCCATTGGGCTCGTCAATCCTTTTTCATCATTGTTAATTTGTTGGTCATATTGGTTTAATACCTAATTTTCCATTTTTAGTTATTAATGCTCAATAATCAGATCAATTTTATGTCGTTTTTCATCAGTACAGTTTATCCCCTCATATCCTAACCCTTTGTTTCATGAGTCCTTTGGAATAATGGAACTATTCGGACGTAAGAAATTACTTGCTAATTTGAATCTTATGAACTTGATCTGCGTAATTGATCAGGTGGGGGCACAAGGGACCAGGTTTCGTTGACCAACCACCCAAATGGAATACACTTTTTTAAAACTGTTCTTCAAATTTCTTTTGCTGTACAAAATTTCTTCTTAACATTATTTGGGTTCGAAGCCTTCGGCAAATTATTGCAAGCTTCTGGCCAGTCAAATAACACAATGGTAAGGTCTTTTAAGGTAATAGAAGGTTGTCAGATCACTGTTGAAAATCTGATCCAAGCACAAGTTTTCTTTTTCACCCATAATTTCGAATCCATAATGAAAATTTTCTGCATTAACTTCATCAACATTCTGTAACTATCGTGACGTGGTCATGTTTGATAACACCCCAATTAACGATCGGAATTATCTGAAGAATCAGTACATTCAACAGAATATGAATGGAAGCATTCAGCTGCTTTTCAGAAGATTAAACCAGTCACCGTCAAACGTTATTCAGTTTGTTTTCTGAGTTGAGTTTTGAACAGCTTGATCCAAATTTTCATTAGAATCACTCATTGCACACAATCCCAGCATTTCTTAACTTTTTGCATATGGGGATAGAATTTATAATGCAGCGAATAGCCAATGAAAAAATGTTCCCGTACATTAGTCTTCTAATGGGAACACAGAAACTCAGTACTATGAGGAAGTGCTGAATGCGATACGTTGTCGCAAATGAATCAGTTCTCGAGGAAACAAGAAAGTGGTCTCATTTATGAAATGCATTGCAGTCAACGTGAAGTCCAAGTTTTGATTCCGTTAACTTCATCGACTTTTGCTTACTTCTTTAGAAACATCGCATTTCTTTCAGAAGGCAGCATTGGAGGAAATGCGCAAAGAAGAATCAGACACGAAACGTGGCGAGGCGAACGAAGCGTTGAAACAGGTTGAAATGGCACGACTCAAATGTAATGTTTTCATTTCTTGAGGGCTGAATGCTGCATTCAAATGAACGTGAACTCACTGATCTAAGCCAATTAGCAGTCATCATTTGCTGATAATCAGGCATAATAGAGATCGTACAGTCAATGTTATACGATAACGTTCCCTTTGTTTTGCATTCATATTTCTAAGTATTTATATTTTTCACTCAAAATTGTACATCAGAAATTATATCTTCCTGTACACAAATCCGAATGAAACTGCGTTCAAACGAGTTGTATCAATGCATGAGACTTGAATGCTCGTTATGAATGACTCGTTCGATAGTGTGCTTCTTGATTTGATGAATTGCTTGATGCATAGCTAACGTATCTGTAAGTTACTGCATCTACTATTAATATATCGACAAGGAGCAGTCAATAGCGCTCGTTAAGTGAGCAAAATATTTGATGAATTCACAACGATGTGTATGCATAAAGTTTCACTTAATAGCTAAAGTCAACTGCCTTTTATGCTCGTTCACACTCTATTCCCCATGTAACCATTACGCATAACAATCATTAATTCATGCGTTGTCGTTCACTCAGACAAGCTTATTCTTAGATGAGGATGATGACGATTTTCAATACATTAATATTTTAAACTTCAATCGATTTCTTTTTACGCATTCGTTCATTTATTCTTTTGCATTTTATCGAGAAATTAATTTAACGTTGTGGTTTCAAATGATCCTAATTACCATTCGCTTCGGTGACAACTTCAGCAATTAGCATGATCATTATTGCGTGCTTCCTAATTAGTAGTTGACAGCTGAAGTGACTGATGCGAGAAGTGCGTGTTGCATGCAGTGAACAGCACGAAATCGCTGCTGACCTGATTTCGTACAAGTCAGAGCATTTCTTTGCTTAACGTATTAACATCGAATTGCATTGCACTTATACAAATGAGATCATGCTCGCAAGGAAGTCTTTCAGCTGCACAATGATTACTCTCTCGGTCGATTCCGATTTCAATAAAGCAGTGTGTGTGCATCACTTTGCGTTGCTAGGGTAATGCGTTTAGGTGAGTAGTCATTATCGTGTCTTGTCGAGCGACGTTTGTTTCATTCAGCATTCACACACTGACACTGAATCTCAGATGATCTACATCACTCCAGGAATATCTTAATGTACAAATCACTGATGAGTTTTGTGAATGATTGAGTGATAATCTTTTAAATGAAATCATGAAAGGGTGACATTTTTTGAACTCATGAAATGTTTTCATTTCTTGAGGGCTGAATGCTGCACTCAAATGAATTTGAACTCACTGATCTAAGTCAATTAGCAGTCATCATTCTCTGATAATCAAGCATGATAGAGTGTGAACTGTAGAATGGCTGTTGAAAGTAACGAAGTCAAAATTCGATGAATTGCTGTTTTATGTTCAGTAAAATTCAGCAAGGCACCTAGATTGACGTCCTTTACAAATAAATGCCATTTTGTGAAGCACGATTTGCATATGAGTTTCACTGAACGGAAATGAGATTGATAAATTTAATAATCACGATCGCAAGAGTTTGTGATAACGCAGTGCGTCGACTGAAAGGGTGTAAAGCGTTCACATCATTACTGCAATAAAGTTTTCAGCGTTGAATCAAACTGTTTCGATGCAGTAATGATCCCATTCGTACTTACAGTTGATCGTTTAGCTCACCTAATTGATTGCTATTAACCATCTTCCATAATACACCTTTTCCGTTAATGATTTTGTGATCCGACTTTCAATCAATTGTTTTCAATTTACACCAAAGAGGTAACCTTTTATCAACACTCTCGAACGGTATCATCAGCATATAAGGAAATTCGCTGTTGAATCGTTCTTTTTTGTCTTGTAAGTTTATTGTGAGAAATTTTCGAAAAAGATTCACTTTAATGACGTGTTAATGCAAGTAAGTATTCGTGCGTATTGAGTGCTAATTGATCAGGATGAAAGACGAAGGATACTGCAGAAAGAAGGAAAATTCCGAAGGAAGGGTGGAAAGAAGACAAGATCGATTTTTGAGCATTATAGAGTTAAAGTGCTGGGTGTTGGGCAGGAGAATTGTTGGATGACAAAGATAAGGAGAGGTGAATATGAATGCTGAGCAAGTGAGTGGATAAGCGTGGAACAGTCTATTGATGTGTTTGTGTATGTCGAGGATGGTTGTTGGATGCGTTCAGTGCCGATGGATTATTTGTGGCGAGACAGTTGATGATTGGAACAGATCTGGAAGGCATACAGAGTAGAATTGATTCGGTGCAAAATGGTGAACATAGCTTTAGGGGTAGCCAGCCTTTTATGTTGTTAACGGAGACACACAGACGAGTACCACTCGCACTGGTACACACTGTCGCTCTTGTTCATTAGTGAGCCATTCTTTCATTTTTATCGTGCTTGCGACATACACTACGAGTTCAGTAACAATACCCACATACCATGTGTTTAGCTATGTTGTACATATTTTATATCCATAAAATATGTTTTATATATATAATTCTGAAGTGTACTCTGAATTTATGTATCCTGAGCAGAAGCTGAGTTTTGAGTAGAAAGTATCAGCAGATGTTAATGCTCGTTCAAACTGAAACTATTCTATCAACTCACTGCCTTGAAAACCGTCATTTTAAAGATGAAATTTCATATAATTGATCAGAGTAAAAGCCGAAACACTGAATGGATACAATCAATAATTCAGCTCGCAAGATCTGCTGATAATTTTCTTCGTTCTATTGGAAATTTTCATTCGCCCACAACGATACTAATAATAACGGTTTTGTGTAATACCCTATCGGATGCTCGGAGAAGTGTTGTCGGGAAGTGAGCCAAACTTTATTCGTGCTCTGGTGAATACAGCAATAGAGCAGATAACGTCAGATTGTGATAAATCTGACCCTTGAAACGTTCATAGTTTCGTAACAATACGTTCATCGGGCAGTGTAAATGAGCAGATGATAAAGTGTAATAATGCGAATGGTGCGTTCAGTGCGATACTTTTTTTGTAAAATTATGCCATTGATACAGCAGCAAGAACAGTTAACGGCCTTCCATATCGCCAGGTTTATGAAGCGGCTGTTCAAAGTATCAGAGATGAGCACAGATGCATTTCAGTGTGATAATAGAGTGAGATATTTAAGATCGTGCTTGTTTCAGAAGTCTGTCTAGTTTTGTTCTGTTACACACTATCACAACGCTATCACGTTAAACTATCGGCTTTTCTTTCCGTGCGTCTTTGAAGCAGCTTTGTAAAGCTAAGCGAGTGAGTCGTCGTGAATGGATATCTTAAATCCAATTCCACAAAGAATATGCACCGACAGACGCACCGCATCGGCAGTATTACACATAACCATTGTCAACTGTGAACAGAATCTTAAATTGACCCATCGCTTATGTTTTATAATAGTGATTGATTGTCATTTTTGCAAGAACAATCCATTCTTACAACGTCATCACAGAGTCTATCACCATATCCTCCTGCCTCTTTTAATATTTGACCCCTTTTCTTATCATCTGCTCACAATCCCTCCAAATGCTTTTCAAGCAAATCAAAATGAACAGACAAGTTTTTTAAAGTTCGATTGCACAATTGCTTTACATTTGTTACACTTCATCGAAGAAATATGGCGGTCGCTGCGAAAGAAATATTTTCTTCAATAAAATTCATTCCGTGAAATATATTTCCAAGAGTCAATAACTGTTTTGTTGAGTTAAATTCATGGTAATAATTCATTTTGAATGAGCATAAATGCAACTGAATACTTTTCGATGACTGTCCGGTATCATTCTTGAGTTGTACTTAAAATTGAAAGTAGTATTGGAATTGTTACCTTTCATGAATTTAGTCAGTCTCGGTATTTAATAAACTGCATGGGATTTGTGATGACATTCAAACTAAGAAATTGAATGATCTTTTGCAGCTGCACCTTAACAGGATATGCACATATAATACTAACTTCATGATCTACTCGGTCAGACATCGTCTTTTAATTGGCACAACATCGTGCTCTGCGAATGCCGTTTTACAAAACGATTGCAATTGAACTGAAATATCGGAAGTTTAAAGGTGCAATACAAAAAGATAATTTTAGTGGCTGCTGAGCAAGAACAAATAGAGCGGAAACGCAAAACACTTGAACGACTGAGACGAGAGGCAGTTCGTCGCGGTATCGTACTCGAGCCTGGCTCAGCATCTGAGCCCGACATTGTTGTTGAGCCACAACCCGAACCGAAATCCGTTACTGAAGCTAAACTTCGAGCGAAACTGAATGCTAAGAAAAAGGTACTGAATAATTTATGAAGATCTGAAATTATTTCAGATTTTTTTCCGCTGCAGTGGTGTTTTATTTTTAGCAAAGAACTTGGTTCACGATTTCTGAAGTTTTGAATGAACGAGTTTTCTTTTCATATTTACCGCATAATATTCGTTAAACAATCGGTTAATCAAGTACGATTAATTATCTGAAAAACGATCAGTATCAAACGCAACAAATCCCATCACTATTCTTTAAGCAAAATGAGCAAGAAGAAGTGGAAGATAACAGTCCTCCAATACCCGAAAATCTGGTACCACCTGAGAGAATACCACCAATCGTGGACTCGGCTGACTCGAATGCTGATAATAGCACTAATGCGAACGATAGTAACGTGAACAATGGTCATGGTTCATCCAAAAAGAAGAAGAAAGGTAAACGTGCAAAGCAGCAAGATAAAGAACGTAGGGATGCAATCAACGCTTCAGTAAGGTCAGACTTTCCGCATTACCGATACACTTCCATTGAGCGTTGATCGCCTACAAAATAAAACTTTAAAATATGGCCAACTGATATCATTTCAGTTCAAGAAATATTCCGTAATGAGATCTGTCCAAGCACAATAGCGTCATACCAAAACTAATTTTATAATCATTTATTGTTTCCCAATAGTTCGTTCTCTCATGATTTCGAAGAAGTTTTATTTCTTCGTTTTATCCCTTCTTATTCCATTACATGTTCAAAATTTTAACTCTTGCATCGACTTCGCATCTTCTCACTTTCGACAGCAATTCATAATTCAAATCGTTTCCCCACCAGTCAGTTTTACGAGTCATATTTATTCGATTTGATTTCTCTGCAAATTTTATTCCGCCTTCCTCCCATTCAGACAGCTATGTTCATTGATTACGTCTGCGAAAATACATTGAAAAAGCAAATGCATCGATCAGATTTCTGGAAATAACGCAAAAGAAGATCTTTTAGTGTATGAATAAGAATTGATGCGCGAATAGAAAGCATTATATATTTGTTATTGGAATTATTGTTGTCAGTATTAGAATTATGAGTATAATTAGCCTTTCTTAAATTGTTATTGAATGGAAAGGATGTAAAATGAATATTAATGAGGATACACAAACGAGAATAGGATAAGATACTGAATTGTTTTATTGGTTGTGGATGTGTCGAGTGGGTGTATTTGCATGCCGAATGAATCGATTGGTATTAGCAGATGAGTGGCGAACAATATCTTCCTACGTACAAATGCTGACAAGCAGAACAAATCATATTTTCTTTAGCAATCAGCTGGAATAGTTATTGCTTTGTAGCTTCTCAAGCTTGTTTCGGCGTTTTGAAATATTACTGATTTGAGATCGGAATATTTCTTGTAATTGACCTATGTGCTGGATCAAATTCTGATTACAGCTGAACAACACTGAACTGAATGAGCTGTAAAAGAATCGCATCTTTAATTTGCAAACATCAATTAGAAATTTTTCGCCACAACTCTAGCATCGATCCTTTGAGGTTTTTTGATTTGTGCAAAAGGCAAGCAGTTTCTTCAGAAATGTTCACGTAAGATTTCAAGGTTACGATCCGTTGATATGACAGTATCTCATAATATAAAGCAAAACTGATTTTAATTATCACTGATGATTGCAGAGAAAAATTGGCTGCTATAAAGGCACGCAAGCAGCGTATGCGAGAAATTCAGGCACAACTTCTGAAGCCAGTTATTTCGGAATCACAAATGGATGAAACTTTTCAGAAAGCTCAAGAGAGACTGAAGTTGGTTGATCTTTCTGATAATGCACTCTTCATCTTAGATTTATTTTCTTGTCATATTTTTCTTAATTTTTCCGATCATTTCATTCTCACTTTCTGTTTCAGCATTCTAGTTTTGTAATAGTTCCATTGCTTTACCACATCATATTTTGTTAACTTTGCTTCTTCATGTACAACAGTGGCACTCAACCTTTTCCCTCCCGCACCCCATAAAAAATTTAATAATGTCTTCGCACTCTCTACAACAATAGTTTAAATCTCCTCGCACCCCTCACATCGTCCACTTCTGTATCTCTCATCCACTACAGTAGGTGTCCGTAGTGTAGATAAGTGTATGCCATTGGAGTACGTTCCAGCCTTTCAAAAAAAAGTTAAAGCCCATCCTGGTTTTCTTTATACACACGTATATGTTGAAATCCGCCCTCGCCTNAAATCCGCCCTCGCCTACTTTAGTGTATCAAAAATAAAACCTTATTACGTATCCCTGGAATACCACCTCGCACTGTCGAGAGGTGCAAGCACCCCGAGAAACTCTGATCTACAACAGTCACACTCACGCGCTTTGTACCTCTTTGGCCGGTGCAGGACTAAAGGTATAGGAAAACGCAGGAACCGAATGTTTTATATCACCTTTGTATGCCTGAGCCAAAAGAGGAGGATCGTTTTTAAAGCGAAACGTCCGGCGCCGAAGATTACCAGTGCGCCTTTAGCCATATGACAGATCGCATCTTACGTCTTTGCCAACTTCCGTCCTTCACATAACCACAATTCCACCTCCCCTCCGACAATCACTGCGGTAATTCAGTGCAACACCAAGAAATGCAATCAATTAACCAGAAATTCGCTGTCAATAATTCATCAGTGGTTTCAAACGAATCACTTTTCTGTGATCGGATAAGCATTCTGAAAAAGAAACTTATTGGTAGTTGGGGAAGAAAAACACAAAAAAAAAAGAGTCAACGTTGATTGGTTACGCTCTTCAGCTTCCATTTCTACCTCTTTCCGTGATATTTTCAAATCTGCTCCTCATATAGGGACTTGAAGATGTTGCGGACGGTATGAACCTATAGAGCGGTAGTTCAATAGAATAAACTTATGGAATAAAGTGATATGAACAAACAGCGGTTCTTATACTAGAGACTCCTATGAGAAGCACTACTCTGCAGATTCACACCTTTCTATGATAACTCGTATTTATTTGCTCATCAGTTTTGTGCACCACACATCCATACTTCATAAATTGACTGTCCTAGAGCCGATTGATGGTTTAAAAAAAGTAAGATTATACTTCTTCTGAGTATGAAAGTTCTTTTGTTTGATGCGACATTCTATTGTTGTGTGCAATGTAAGAAGCAATTTGTTGAAACGTTTCAAAGAGTCGTCTAGAACTTCGCTCACATCAAACCATATTATCTGGATTCTCATCATTTTCTTCTTTCTGAAACCTTTTCTTGAAGGAATATCGCCTTTTCAAGCTCACCATTGAAAATAGGACAACACATCAGTTCATCACGCATCTCAACAAAAATACATACATATTAAACACGAATGCTATTTTTCATGAATTAATATTCGTTGTGTTCAGAAGTTTGACAGCGATGCGTGAACGTTTGGAAGAACTGAAAGAAAGTGGTGGAGAAGTATCTGAAGAGACAGTTGCCATGTTAGAGAAACAGCTTGTCGAGGAGGAGAATGCTACGGCTGAGGACGATAAAGCAATTGAAGCTAGTAATGACATTGCGGAGGCAACCAATGCTAACATGGAACCAGCTTTGGAACATATTGAGCAGGTTGGTTCCAGTTCGGATCCCATTAATGTTACATCGGATTCACAAGGCGATCACCTGAAATGACAAATACCCCCTTGCGATCACTTGTCATTTCACTTCTTCAATCAGACATTTTTTCCAATGAAATTGAAGTTGAATGTACTCTCGTAATGAATGCAGTGAATTCCGATATGTTCTCGAAGTTGTTATTAATTCATTCATAGAGTGGTCAATGTGGCTAATGATGCACATAAGTTCACCGAATTTGCTAGGCTGCTGTATGGTACCACATTATGTTATAATTTAAACTTTATGGTCACATTAATGATTGATTGAGTACACTGAACATTTAAGTTGTGAATGTATTCGTGCTGAATGAAGCTGGCTGGACTCATTGCTGACGATGAGCTTGCGTTTCATTATCGTTATTGTTATGTGAAGTGTGTGCCTTGCAGTTCTTTTGTTCACTTCCAATGTTTCGACTATCGAAATTTGTTTTAAGTCAAATAATTTGATGTTGATATCGCACATATCCACAGACAGTGTATGTTTATATCATCCATAAAATATACTACCAGAATCGTGAATTGAATGGAGAACAAGTAAATGAACACTATTATGTACATGTGCGATGAATTGCTGCTTAAAAGGGCAACCCACAGCTGACGTTTCTTGTTTTAGAACTGTTTATGTGCGTTTGTTGGCTGATTAATATTAATGCTATTGTTCATTTTATTATTGAACAGATCAATCGAGAGCTGATGCGTTAGTTGGTTGGCTAGAGTTTACAGCTTCATTCGTTAAAGCAGTCGAGCACAGCCTTATCCTACACATCTTACATCTTCATCCAATCCATTTTATCTACTCTGAGAAAACTTCTTACTGAATTTATAACCTCCACAATACTTCAATTGATTTATGGCATTTCATTCACTGTTTGAGTGTTGCAGAGGGTTTTTTTTGTCAAAATGTTGCATTTTTGGAGTGAATTATAGCCGTTTTGCATTCGATGATGATTATACCGATCTTTTTGATCGCTTAGCGTTCGTTGGTGTTCGTACGATTGAGTTGAGGCATTTATCTTAGGTTCAACGATAGCGTTTTTATAGATATGACAAGTGCAAAAATAGATACGTTTGTTTTTCGAGATATTTATTCATCAGTTTGAAGTGACATCAGATGCGGGGTGAAATTTTTTAAAATGAAATTTTTTTGGTATGCACTGAATCAGTGATAAACGATGTGAATTAAAAGAATTTTTAATATGTATTGCAAAAGTTTGATGTCATCTACTTTGTATTTACGACGAGAATAATCTCACTACCTGGAAATTTGACACGATTCAATATGAAAGGCTTCCAGTAATTTACTGGAGAGTTCCTACTCGACGTCAGACTATGTAAACTGAGCAAAAAACTTCAACCTTCAATTTTTGATTTATTAAATTAGACATTATCACGAGTTCATAAGCACATTACGGTAATGCATCATTTGTCGAATAGTTTCCCCAAAAAAACTACCAATTAATAAGAAATAATTTGTAGGATTGGAGGCGTCAAAAATGAATGAATTAACGTGCAATTTCACTGGAATTTTCTTGCTACTTTTCATATATAGTACCATGTAAGTGACATTTTGAGCGGTTGGGATGACAGAAACTAGAAATGGAAAGGTTTTTGAATTGGAAATGATCGAAAATAGATATTGCTTGAGAAGGAGGGTGTTGCTTGACAGACTCTTTGGCAGTAAAAGGAGGGTGCAAATGAAAGAAGAGAATATTCGGAAGGAGAGATGCCGAGAGTGAGGAAAGGAAGTGAATAAATGCTGCTGCATCTCGTTTGTCACATTCAGCAAATCATTATTTCATTTCGTCTCATTCTCATTTCGTTGCGATTCTGTGTCGCTTTTTTTGTGTGAAATTCCTTTAGAAAAGAATACTGTAGAGAGCCTTCTTCCGAGCAATGAAAGTGAATATATTCATGATTCATACAAAGTCATTTTCACTATTCTTACAAGAATTTTTCGCTTCTATTCCAGTTGATCTTTCACATTTTCTGCTTGGAATTAGGAAAAATTGACGTTTTGAAATGAATTCATTACTGGTTAATTGTGAGATTCGATGCAGTAGCAGTGCCATACACTTACATTTCTTGAATGAATATTACACAATTGGCAACATCGTTCCCATCTATCTTTTAATGAAATGCAATGACTGAAAATTTTCATTGGAAAAACTTGAATAGTAAAAGAGAAGAAAATGTGCTTAAGCTGTTGCTCGAGTAGTATGTGCGCGAATGTGTCAGTTTTGATTGCTTTCATATATGTAAGCGCATATGCATTAAGGTCTCGTCGAATGTGTTATTGAATTAGTTAAAACGCAACATTTATAGCAGTATATTAGAGGAGAGATATGAATGAAGTTGGGGCTTATATTATATTAGGAAAGCGACTCACTTATGAATCAAAAGAGAATGTACACATGCGCCTTTTTCTCTCAACAATTTCATCCCATTACTATCATGGATTCCACATCGAGAGTGCTTATCTAATCCGATAAAAGTGATCAATATTCAATATTATTCTCAGAAGCAATCGCGAAAATGGATTTTAAACTTTGATTAGTCCCGAATTGTTTTATGCTGTTAAAGTGCCGATTAGAAAGTCATCAATTCAAATCATCGAATGAGACAGAATTTAGCAGGAGTGAGCTTTCAAAAATCGTTAACTTGAATAACCGGAAATGGAATTTTAGTGAATGTTTCATGCATTAAGCATCGTAAGGTAGTGTGGTGAAATATTCATAGAAATAAAGCAGTAATTCACATTCAAAATTGAATGATTTCTATTTATTGCATTCGACTTTGCCATCGCAACTGATTGTCATCAATACGCACCACACCAATCGAGTCAATTGTTTTCAACTTTCGGTTGTGTATATTCATTAGTTGCCATGTTACTGTCATATAAAATGGAAATTGTTTGCAGATCGTTGAAAGTGTTCGAAGTGAATTCGATAAAGTGATGATGAGCGGACGTAAAGGAAATGCAACGAACTTTAAGAGTGAATCGGACCTATCACCCGGATATTGTCTGTCAGTGAATGATAGTCAGCGACTGAAAAATATTGAGGAATCGATTGAGCAGCAGAAACGACTTCTTCTCGCAATTAACAATCGAATTGTATGTTTTTTTTTNTTTTTTTTTCATTTGCTTCATAATTTCATTTATTCTTTCTTCATGAACAAAAGTTCCTCACTGCATTGTTGCTGTCGATTTTGAGTGTTACAACTAGTACTTTACTATCGCATTTCTACGAAGACGTAGCAGGCCGATTCAGCGATAGTACATAATATCGATTTTCAGTTGCTTTTTTAGTCATGAAAAATTTACGATAGTCATTCAGTGAGGCTAAAGCTTTCTGTGTAATTCATCAGAACTTTCTTTCAATATCTTCTTATAATTAGCTTTGTTGTGATCAAGTAATTAAAAAGCACAATTGTATAAACTCATTGTCTGATAACTTTTGATTCCTTACATAAATAATGAGTCCTATTTTGACATTCTGCAGAGTATTTCCTTAGTGTACTTCGGCGTTTTCTTTTTGAAAGAAAAATTTTCCACCATATTACAGCACAATAAGGAACGTCAGTTGTTGAAAAGAATTCCAAACAAAAAAAAGCGAAGATTTGTTACAAAATCAATTATTCCGCTAATGATCCAAAATATTATCATTATTTTACGAATGCACTTCGTATCCTTCTACTTATCGCTATCGTTATCCTTATCAACTCTTTGCATTATATCCTAGTTTCTGTCCACTAAGTAAATAGACTACATAAATGAATGCGTTATTCCTCAACTCTTTATTCTTCAGCAACTCTCTAACGTCCGGTTATCCCATCGTTGCTAATTGCCATTACAATATCCATTACTATGATGCATATACTCATTCCGAAACTACTACGCTTCAGATCCATCCAGTACTCTCACATCTCGTCGAGTCTTGTTATGCATCCCGTCGTTTCATTCCAATTATCAATTACCACTTTACGATGCATGTCTATCCCGCTCTCTATATTCTCACTTTAATTTATTCCAACTCGACTCATGAGAAGTGTTAATAACGTGAATAAATGCGCAATGATTCGATGATGAGTTCAGCGAGTAAGCATCGATGCCTTGTTGGGATGCTATTGATTTCGAGGAAGCGACTTTTATGGACACCATAGAACATAATACGATTTGTATGCACAGCATAACCAAGATTGTTGTAATAATTAGTGATTCTCTTCATTATCCTATTCGATTCTCTTCTGTCCAATTATACGTATTGATCAGTTAAGTTTATTAGAGTGATAATTCAATTTGCGGGTACATCTGTGCCGATTATTGCAGTTTTTATTAATCCCTTACTTCAGTTATATTCTTTGCTCACAAGTTGCTTATGATTTACTGCTACTCGACAATATAGATGTGTGTTTTTGGTTATAGTTAAGACTAATGTTCAAAAACAGCAACATTTATGTCTGCTGAACAGACCAA